TCCTCCACCTGGTTCCCATCCCCACCCTCTTCCCTTACCTCCCCCACACTGTCCTCGTCTATAGGTGTACGATTTTTGTCCGGTCTATTCCCACACCCTCTTTCCCCTTCAGAGTTGTCAGTCCACTCCCTCTCTATGCCCCTGATCCTATTATATGCACCATTTTACATCAGATTTTTAATTCACTTGATTTTTAGATTCACCTGTTGATAGATGTGTATTTGTTGTTCATATGAACAAAATTATGAACGTTTTCATTTCTTGCGTCTACAACAAGGAGTGAATTAGCAGGTCACATCGTCACTATGTGTAACCTGTGCGGAACTGCCAGACGGCTTTCCACAGAGGCCAGTGTTGTTTTAAAAGCTGCTAAATTTGGGGGAAATTTGTTACACAGCCAGGAATGACGAAGGCAAGAGAATTAAACAAAGTTAGATATAAAGGGCATTTAGGACAACATCTAGTAGGTGCTCTAGCAGTGTTAGCTAGTCCTATCATGATCAGCATCTCTCTACCACAGGGCCTTTGCTCATGCTGCTTCCACTGCTTCAAGTGCTCTTTCCCTCCCTCCCTCCCTACTCCACTGACTCTTACATATCCTCCCAACGTCTGCCCAACTGCTGCTTTTCCATCGGAGCCTCTTTGGAAATGCCAATTGAGAAACCCCCTTCACACAGTCTCTTAGCACCCCGCACGTCTCCAATATCAAACAGCGTCACAGTTAAATAGAAATCTGTGTAGCTATTTTTAAGGCAGTTCCCTCTTCTGAAATGGAAAAGAATCTCAAGCTGGCACAGCGCCCTACCCTCTGTACACACAATAGAAATGCAATTCTACCCCTCAAAGGCCAGCAACCCACTAGGAAAATGAGCAAGGACAAAAGCAGGCTGTTTTGCAGAAAAGGAAACAGAACAGAATGGAGGCACAGATGCATTCCTAACGTAAAAGCAGGAGATAAGACGAAAGTCCATTTCTCACGACTCTCTGACTAGCCAAGAGGAGAAGGATGGATAATGCCCAGATGTGGCCAGAAACTGCCATTGCCTCGCGCGGGGGGCTCGGCGCTTCACCAGGAAGGCTCCCGTGGGGCCGTGTGGTGAGGTGTGTGTACCGAATCCTAAACGCACACCCACCCCTCCGTCAGCTTACAGACACATGGGATGAGTGACCCAACAGATACACATGCAAGAATGTTCCTTTTTTGGCTCAGTGGATAGAGCGTCGGTCTGGGGACTGAAGGGTCCAGGGTTCGATTCCAATCAAGGGCATGGACATTGGTGGTGGGCACATTCCCGGTAGAGGGTATGCAGGAGGCAGCTGGTTGATGTTTCTCTCTCATTGATGTTTCTAGCTTTCTATCCCTCTCCCTTCCTCTCTGTGAAAAATCAATAGAATATATTAAAAAAAAAAAAAAAAAAAAAAAAAAAAAAAGGATGTTCCTTAGAGCAGCAGTCGCCAACCGTTCGGTCCTCACAGACCACCAGTGGTCCGAGGGCCACGGGTTGGCGACCACAGCCTTCGAGCACAGCCAACAAGCAAACACCAGACTCTAAAAGCATCCTTCTAGCGTGTCTGCCGGAAACAGTGCCAGCTTCTTGGGCCTTGAACGGCCAAGTACAATGAGCTGCCTGGAGGGCTGCCACCTTCATAGCAATGTGCCTGCAGGGGCTGCTCCGTGTGCATCCCAATGAGGCCCCGGGCAGGTCCTCCAATCACGGCTGAAAGCCAGGCCCCATCTTCCTCCCTGAGTGTCTCCCTTGCATTCCAGCGAGGCACGCCATTGGCGCTTGTGAACACAGGTGTTTCGGAGGGCTGGGGACCTACTCATTTCAGATTGATAAAGAAGAAGCTACAACGCAGCAGCCTCATAACCAGGCGAGCCGATCCCTTATAATAAAATGTGTGTGGCCAAAACCAGTTTGGCTCAGTGGATAGAACGTCGGCCTGTGGACTGAAAGGCCCCAGGTTCGATTCCGGTCAAGGGCATGTACCTTGGTTGCGGGCACATTCCCGGTAGGGGGTGTGCAAGAGGCACCTGATGGATGATTCTCTCTCATCGATGTTTCTAACTTTCTGTAAAAAGTCAATAAAATATATTTTTTTAAATAAAAAATAAAATGTGTGTGCGTGTGCATGTGTGTTTGTGTGTGTGCACACATGCATGTGTGTGTGTGTGTGTGTGTGTGTCTTGTTAGTTCTGTTTCTCTGGGCAACCCTAATAAAGGATTTATGAAATCTGATTCATCCCAGGTCTAATTACAGCTATAAAGTTCCAGTTCATGACGGGTCCAGCTTGGCCTGCTCACCGACCAGTGTTCACGCCGGAGAGCAGGGTTCCGAGAACACGGACAAGTTTCTCACTCAGGGTTCCTTGCGGGGCCCTGAGGCCGAGACACCAGTAAACCGTGCGGCCCGGGGCCCCTCCAGACCCGCCTGGGAGGCCTGATCCGGGCAGAGGCCCCCGCCCCCTCCCCAGGAAATCCCGGGAAGCCCCATGGCAGCACTCGGTTGTGTGGGAAGAACCGGATGCTGCTGCCTGAAGGCCGAGGCCCGGGCCTGGCCCTGGCCCAGCGACTGCCTCTGGGCCCTGACCTGGTCACATCGAGAGGACAGCCCCTGGCACAGCCTGTGTGCTCCCGGGGGGACCCTCACTTGCAAATCCAATGAATGTCAATCCATGGTGGAATTCTGCGCCTTGAAGGAACACCATCAGGAAAGCTATTAGTATTTGTGGTTGGGGTCCGTGTTCTGAAGCCCTCTCTGCAAAGCACTCCCGATTAGTTTTTTATTTATTTATTTATTTATTTGCTTATTTATTTATTTATTTCTTACAGAGAGGAAGGGAGAGACACGGAGAGCTAGAAACATCAATCAGCTGCCTCCTGCACACCCCCTACTGGGGATGTGCCCGCAACCAAGGTACATGCCCTTGACCAGAACTAAACCTGTGACCTTCCAGTTTGCGGGCTGATGCTCCATCCACTGAGCCAAACCGGTTTTGTCTCCCAATTAGTTCTTTAATAAGATGACTCTGTGATGTTTTTATTAGCATGTGTTACTTGCCAGTTTCCCAAAATGGTTTGAAGGGAGCTAAGGTTAACACCAAGACATTAGATACACTCAAGACTTGTTTCAAGTCCAGAACAAATAAACCAATTAGGAGGAAGATAATGTATCAAACACCTGGAAATGTAGGCCCCTAACCCCTCCATCAAAGGTCCAGGATCTCACGAATACATTTTAACTCATTGTTACATTTTATGTCAAAAACCCAGCCGGGGCCATGTCCCTCCCACCCACCTCATGAAGGGGAACCGAGGGGAGGCAAAAAGCTGGTTAGAAGCCCAAACCACTTAGCGGGCATTTAAAAGACGTGTTTTGTGTCTTTGCTGAAGATTAATTACCTCCAGAAATCCACCTAATAGGGCCTCCCTCCAACCTTACAACCTCAGGAAGGAATCAACTGTTAAGTAGGGGTCATTCTGCGGGAGAGGAGAAGCAAAACACACGACTACGTTACATTTGTAACATTTCTAAGTTACAAATTTAGAACCAAGCTTTTCCACCCTAACCTCTAATTCAGGTCTTCTCCCTCTGTGAAAAAGAGGGACCGTTCAGCTGTCCGCTTTTATCTGCTCCACTTTAGTCGAGTGAGTAGCAATTAGATGGCAAATTTTCAGTGGAAAACGCATTAAGAACTTCGGTCCAGACAGGAACTGATCAGCAAGACCTTCCATTTAACTCTTAAAGGAAGGCCGTAGTATTATATCTGCGCATGTTGGCAGGCAACAAATCCTCGAGTTGGCTGGCTGAATGCCGCCGTGGTCGGCAAACGGCGGCTCGCGAGCCACATGCGGCTCTTTGGCCCCTTGAGTGTGGCTCTTCCACAAAATACCACGGTCTGGGCGAGTCTGTTTTGAAGAAGTGGCGTTAGAAGAAGTTTGTTTAAAAAATTTGGCTCTCAAAAGACATTTCAATCGTTGTACTGTTGGTATTGGGCTCTGTGGACTAATGAGTTTGCCGACCACCGGCTTAACGTGTGAAAGACCAGGAACAAATCCTGAACGGTGGCCCTGTGAACAAGAGGACGTCCAGGCAGGACGTCCCCAGAGGCCTTTGGAGCCATTCTCCTCGGGTCATGGCTAGTCGTTCACACCTGTGCCCACCTGCAGGGCCCGGGACCCAGACAAGCTCCCCATGGCCCCCAGCACATGCCGGCCTTGAACAGACGCTGCCTGAGCAGAATCGCAGAATACACGGGAAGCCATGCACACACAGACGCGGACATTCACAGCTTCTTCACCAGCTTCTTTCGTGCAACGTCTTGTAGGCCTTGACACCGAAAACTACTACACAAATTACTACACGGGGACGAGAGGAGCTCACCTCTCCCAGGGATTCGCTGCTCTGCGGCCCAGACAGCCTTGGCAGCGGCATTGAGGCAGGACAGAAGCCAGATGGCTCGGCAGCAGACTGATCAGCTCCGAGGCAGCAAGGAGGACCGTCAGGTGAGGGCAGAAGAGGGAAGGAGAGAGCCACAGTCTAATGCTATTCTCCACCTTTTGAAGACTTCCTTGGTGCCCCAGAACCAGCCAAGGCTCTAAGAAACCAGGAAAAAGACAGGATTTCGGAAAATCTCGGGGACCTTGAGACCCCGTTCAGCGTTTGCAGACTGTCAAGAGAACACAGTGAGAGTCCGGCAGGCCTGGTCCCAATTCAGACCTGGGCCCCTGGCCCCTCACCTCCCTCACCTCCCGAGCCGGGATGAGAGGGTGAGGGTGAGCAGCCCCTGAGGCCCCTCTGCTCTGCACGTCCATGATTCAACCTTGCAATTTCCCCGTCACATGTTCGAGGACACCCGGCCAGCACACCGCAGGAGAGAAAGAGAAACAATGGCCCCTGTGGTCCTTTCTCCTTTCCGGCCACATCACAGTAAAAACAAACAGAAAGACAGACACACACACACACACACACACACACACACACACACACACACTTACCACCCGAGTCTGTCCGAGCGGGCTGGCCCTGGCACAGGCCTGCCCGAGGCCGGGCCCCCACGGGCTGCCTGCCCACAAACACCAAGGCCATGTGCAGAAGCACCCTCCAACGGCGACTCGGACGGGAAGGGCTTCTTCCCCGCGGGAGCCCGCCGGCAGGCAGCCTGGGCACCGCGCTCCCACGCTCCTCCTGCTTCCCAGCTGCCTGTCGGGGCAGATCCCGAGGCCGGGACCTGCCCCGGAGGCACAATGGCTTACGTAAGTCCCGGCGGCCCGGGCACCTTATCGGCTCATCTGGCAAAACCGCCCCACACAGAAGATGACGCACCCGCAAACGCGATACCCCCAGGTAGGGGCAGAGGGGTGCTGGGCGCTGGGCTCTGCCTGGACACCGGGGAGGAACAAAAAGCCTCCTGTCCAGCTCAGCGCTGCCTGGGAACCGGGGGCGGCGTGCCCTCAGCCGAGGCCGGATGCCAAGTGGTCTCCCCGGCCCGGCCGTGGCCAAGCCCGTGGCACCCACCCGGGCATCCTCGGGGACGCGCCCTCTTTCGTTCCGCGTCCTCCTCTCAAGGAGCGTCCACTGAGACTGGAGCCTGAGCGTGATCGGCAGGGCCCAGCCGCCGGCACCCTCGGCAGGTAACCCTGCCCGTGTTTACCCTCCTGTCCGCCGGGCCGCCGCCAAACGTGACACAGAGCTGGCCGCAGGAGTCCCGGCGAGGCACCCCCGCCTGCCGCCACACCCTGGCAGGTTTGAGGTTTCAGCTCCGCATTCTGCCATGCCTTCGCCCTCGCTTGTCACGTTCGGAGGAAGCGGACCTGCCCCACAGGCTGGGTGTTCCCCAGGGTTCACTGGCACCGACGCCACACGAATCCCAGGGATTAGTCCACACGTTCGGGCAAACGGAGACGCAGCTGGGGCGCCGCCCCCTCCAGGAAGCCCTCCTGGTCTTCCCGTCTTTCCCCCTCGGAGGCTTGGCCGGGCACCCTCCGTGGTGCTCGCCCGTGTGCCCGTGCCCATCGCTGTACTAACCACCGCGATGCACACCCGGTTTCCACTCCAACTAGACTACAACTCCCGGGTGGCAGAGGACACGTGCCCCAGGGCCATGCCCCACCCCCTCAGAGCTCAGGGATCTTGGGCAGATGCTGAACCTTTCGAGATTTAATCTTTACCTGCAAAAAGGGGACAATGCCCCCCACCGCCCCCCTGCTTCACAGGGATGCAGTCATAATTAAATGACAATTTATCTACCCAACAGGTGTTTACTGAGCACTGGCCACACACAGGCACTACGGCAGCGGCACACGAGTCCTTGCCCTGAGGTTAGTTTACATTCTATTTGCCTTCCGCGAGGGCCGCTCACGGCTAAGAAAGAGAAAGCGGAAAGGGAGATGGGAAAAGGTCGGGAGACCACATTTCTATGACATGCCGTTCAGTGAGAGAAAAGCGGGAATCATGGAGATGTGGGGTGGAGGGGGGTGGTAGGGCGACCTAGATGCTGGGCAGCTGCCAGAACAGGGGCCCTGAGGAGGGAGGAAGGAGGGAGGCTCCTGTGGGTCTGAGGACTAGTGAGGAGGCCAGTGCCCCGGAGTGGGGCGGGCACAGAGGAGCCTGGGCAGAGGGTCAGGCACCTGTCCCTTAGACCTGGCAGGCCACAGTCGGGATGCAGCAAACCCGGCCGTGTTACACCGTCACTGGGCTTTATCTCAAACGGGAGATGACAGAGCGCCCTGCAGACGAAACTGAGGGACAAAGCAAACTGCCATGCCCACACGACTGGGCTTCACTAGATCCGCTTCCGGCTGCCACTCCATTCGACAACCTACACCGCTGCCACGGGAGGCCTGACCGACAGGCACGGGAAGAACTGATGTGGGCAGATCTGGCCAGTGGACCCAGGCCCTGCGTGCAGCTCCCATTCCTGCATCTGACAGCGCCACTGCGTCTCATCCCGTGACACCCACCGTGTGTGTGTCTGAGACACGGAGCCTCGGAGAGAGGGCTCGGGTCGCCCTGCACCGAGCATCACCTTGGACAGGTCTCTGAGGGGCTGCCTCCAGCTCAGGCCGGTTCCACGGCCCGTCCCACCATCCCGAAGCTCCCTGCCCCCCACGCTCCTCGCCCAGTCCTGTGGCCGCGCCCTTCCCTAGGCCCCCCCTCCCTCCCTGCCTGCCTGCCTGCCTGCCTCCTGGCGGGAACAGGCCCCCTCCCTACCTGTGATGGTGCAGGCATCCCGGTACCCTCTGCAGCGGGGGGCATCTTCCGCAGCCTCGCTCACATAGTGCTCCTCGGGGAGGCCCGGGCGGCAGGCTGGGACCGCATGCTGGCACGCCTCCGGAGGGGGCACAGGGTTGGCCAAAGCATCGGCGTGCAGAGCTGTGGCGTCCAGCTTGGCAGGTTTCACGGGGAGGTGCCCACTGCCATCGGGGGTCCCGCGGCCGGAGTCTGGCGCCCTCGGGCGGACGGCCCCCCGTGGGTCCGGCACCCAGGCGGCGGGGCTTCCTCACGGGGAGGCTGCGGACAGGGCAGAGGAGCACAGTTACTCGGAGTCTGAAAAGACAACGGACAGAACCCTCGGAACATAAGGGCCCCTCCGCCTCCATTCCTTGTCCACGCTCCAGGACCTTCAAGGACGCCCCACGGTGAGAAATTGGCGGGCTCCTTTAGGGCTAGGATGACAACCACAGACCTTATTCTGCACGATTTGTGGATTTTAATTCCCACGTGACTTTCCTCTGTCAGAGTCGTATTTTTGTTTTATGGTTTTTGTATATGTGCTGCCGAAGCGAGCACAGTTTTATGGTTTTTGAAACATAACATTACAAAGTGCCGTCTTAAGCATCATTAAGGGTACAGCTCGGTAGTGTTAACCAGCCGACCAAACTTCTCTTTTCCTTCCTTCCTCCTTTCCTTTCTTTCTTCCTTCCTTCCTTTTGTTAGTCCTCACGAGGATATTTTTCCATTGGTTTTTAGAGACTGGAAGGGAGGAAGAGGGAAGGGGGGGAAGAGAGACAGAGAGAAACATTGATGTGAAAGAGACACATCAATTGCTTGCCTCCTGCACACACCCCAAGCAGGGCCAGGGATCGAGCCTGCAACTGAGGTACATGCCCTTGTCCGGAATCGAACCCGGGACCCTTCAGTATGTGGGCCGCCGGAGCCATGAAAGCGCCTGGGCCGTTTCCTAGCGGAGGAGTGAGGAACTCTGCAGCCTGGCCGGGTCCCCAGCCTCACTCTCCCAGGCCCTGGCCAACCAGCCCAGCCCCCGGGGGTCAGAGGGTGGGCAGGCTGCTCAGGCTGGTTCCGGTCAGTTGCCGAATTCAACTTTGCTGCTGGGAGTCCCCGTGTGCAAGCCCCTGCCCCTGCCCCATCCCCCCGCCCCTCCCTCCACACACACACACACACACACACACACACTCCGGCATGGGACTTTGGTGGCTTGGGAAACTAAGCTCAAACCCAAAGAACTGTGGGACACAGGAGGTGGTACCACTCCTCTGGGCCTCCGATGCCTCATCAGCAGGCCAGCCGCCTTGCAGCTAAGCCACGCCAGGCACCCCAAAATCGGGGAAGGCAGAGCTGTGGGGGGCCCTCTGCATCAGCCCTTCCCCCATGCCCCGGCTGCCGTTAGTCCGAACCTTCTCCCACCCACACGCAGGCGACCGGCTCCCGGCAGGAGAGCCAAGTGGTACTGCCCAGACCGAGCCGAGCACAGATCACCTCCTTCCCACGGGCTACAAAGCAGCTTCCGCGGGGACCAACGCAGAGACAGGTCATCAGGAGAAAGCCAGAGCCGAGCTCCGGGCCGCAGGCCCCACCGGCGACCAGGAGAAGCCAGACTGCCCCCCCCCCCCCCCCCCCCCCCCCCCCCCCCGGCCAGCAAGGTGACTGAGCTCAAAGGTTCCTCTCTCTGCGCGGGGGGCATCCGAGAAACCTCCGGGCTGGGAGTGAACTGTCACAGCTCAGCGATTCTGCACAAACAGGTCCGGCTACAGCAAAAGTTTCCAAAACACGACAAATGGCTCACCCCGATCCTATCAGCCCTCTGTGGCTGCGGCGACAAATTGCCACACACGGTGGCTTGAAAGCACACCCACGTATCGATCCACAGCCCCGCAGGTGAGCAGGCTGTGTCCCTCCCTGGAGCGCTGGGGAGGAGCCTGGATTCAGGCTTATTCAGGATGTCTGCACACAATCTGTGTGCAAACCATCGGTTTCTTCGGGTTGCAGGACTGAGGTTCCCGTTTCCTGCTGGGGTGCGGATGGGGAGGGGGGGGAGCCTGGTCTTTGTTCCCAGAGGCTGCCATGTTCCTTCCCACACGTTCCCTGAGCTCCCAGGGGCCTCTCTCCAGTCCCTGCTGGTGCCCCCACTTCTCGGAGCAACGGTGCCTCAAATCATTCTGCCCCTGGGAACCTACTTCCCTCCCGCCACAGCCTCCTGGCCGCCTCCTCTGCCCTCCTCCTCTGCTGTTAAGGGCCCATCTGCTTCCACTCAGATAATCCCGGATAATCCCCCATCTTAAAGTCACGTAATCGATAACCTTGATTCCATCCTAAGTCCCTTGCAGCCGTCCCTAGAGGAGTGCTTGACTGATTAACCAGGGACAGGAACCGTGAGGGAAGGACCTCAGAAGTCTGCCCCGCCCCGCACCAGTGGACTTTGGTTCTGCAGACTTTGGTGCTTCAGGAGTCCCCGTGTCACCCCGAACCCCATGCGAGGGCAGCCCAGGGCAGCCCACGGCCAGCCGGCCCCTTTCTGCTCCGGCAGGAACCATTTCCATCCAACCCCGGGCCGGCCTGGGCTGGGCCCCAGTCAGCCACCACTGCCCGCCTGCAGCCCCTGGCCAGGTTCCATGATGCCCCTCTTCTTTGAAACGCGGTCCCGCCACCTGGTTGTCAGGTTGCTCGCTGAAGCGGACAGGATGAATGCAGATGGCCTGCCAGACCTAGGAAGCAGGCCTGAGACTCAGCAAAATTACTGAGGCTCGCCCTCGCTGGTTTGGCTCAGTGGATAGAGCATCAGCCTGCGGGCTGAAGGGTTCCAGGTTCGATTCCCATCAAGGGCACATGCCCGGGCTGTGGGCTCCAAA